ACCTCTGCAACTCATGACCCCTGTCTTCAAGCCAGAAGATCAACTGAAGCTGCACACAACTTCAATTTCTCAATTATAACACCCTTTGTCAACATATCAGCAGGGTTCTGGCTTCCACAAATTTTCTCAAGCAAAAACTGTCTGTCATCCAATAATGACTGTATAAAGTAATATGTGATCTGAATGTGTTTTGTCTTGGACTGAAATGTTGGATTCCTAGTAAGGAATATGGTGCTCTGACTATCACTGTAGAGTACGGCCATCTGATCCTTCTTGCCTAATTCTTTCAAGAAGCAAGAAGCAATTTAGCCGTATCATCTTCTGTGCAGCCTCTGACACTACTATATACTCAGCTTCTGTAGTAGACAACAAAACTGTCTTCTGCAGATTAGAGCCCGATGATACTGTAGTGCCACCAACAGTATAAATATAGTCCGTAGTACTTCTTCTGGTATCAATGTCTCCAGCTAGATCAGCATCAACATAGCCCCGTACCTCTGAACTCTTTCCTGAGAAACACAAGCAAGTTTCTGCAGAGCTTCTTAGGTACCTCAAGATCCACTTAACTGCTTCCCAATGTTCTTTTCCAAGATTACGCATGTATCTGCTAACGACTCCCACTGCATGGGCAATATCAGGTCTGGTGCAAACCATAGCATACATAAGTGAACCAATAGCTGAAGCATAAGGAACCTTACTCATGTAATCTCGTTCCTCCTCTGACTTGGGTGACTGATTCTTGCTGAGTTTCAAGTGACTTCCCAAGGGTGTGCCAACTGGTTTGGCCTTATCCATATAAAATCTGCTAAGTACCTTTTTTACATACTCAGGCTGATAGAGTCTCAACATGCCTCTGACTCTATCTCTGACAATTCTCATACCAAGGATTTGCTTTGTAGCTCCCAAATCCTTCATTGCAAAGTGCTCTGACATCTGCTCTTTCATATTATTGATCTCTTCAATACTAGCACCTGCAATAAACATATCATCCACATACAACAGTAGGATGATATAAGAATTGTCAAAATACCTGACATAGCAACAGTGATTTGTCTGACATCTGTTGTACCATGCACTGTGCATGAAATTATCAAATTTCTTGTACCACTGTCTAGGAGCTTGCTTGAGGCCATACAAGCTCTTCTTCAATCAGCAAACTGACTCTTCCTTTCCCTGTACCACGAACCTTTCAGGTTGGTACATGTAGATGTCTTCTTCAAGATCCTCATGAAGAAAAGCTGTCTTCACATCTAAGTGCTTAAGGAAGAGATCTTTAATAGCCACTATAGACAGTAACATTCTAATGGTTGTAAACTTCACCACAGGAGAGAAAATCTATGAATAATTAATACCGTGCTTCTGTTGAAAACGTGCTTCTGTTGAAATAGCCTTGAAAACCCTTTACAACAAGTCTAGCCTTGTACCTCTTACTACTATCATGCTTAGTCTTCACCCGGTACACCCACTTATTGTGTAATGTCTTCTTCCTAGTTGGAAGATCTACTAACTCCCAAGTCTGATTTTCAAGCAGAGAATTCATCTCCTCTTTCATGGTTAGCTCCCACTTGCTCAAATTTTTATCTTGCAAGATTTCCTCATAACTCTGAGATTCTCCACCATCTGTCAGCAGAATATAGTTCAAAGTCCGAGAATAACGCTGTGGAGAACGTCTGGCTCTTTCTGACCTGCGAACTGCAACTATAGGGGTAGACTGCTCTGAAACTGACTGTGGAACAATAGGAGTGGATGCCCCGGATCCACTCTCCTCGTCACCTGCATCTCTGTCCTGCACTGTGACCTCTGGTAAATCATCAAACTTTACCAACTCAGATTCCTT